GACCGACAGAAGAAAATAGAAGCCGACCTTGGACTCGGTCCCAATGGGGCGGCGGCATTCAGTGCAGGTGTTGGCACAGTGCTTGTCAAAGCAGCGCACGCAGACGCGCTTCTCGTCCTTGTTGACGTACTTCTTCCCGTGCAGGTCGTCACGGCAGTAAAAGCAGTTGAAGCGCTCCGTCATGGTCGTGCCCGTGTGACTTGGTGGGATTGCCAAACTGCAAGGACACAAAGATGAGGAGTATAATAGGTGATGGGTTGAGAATGGCCCTGTGCACTTCTATTTAACCCATCAGGTCGCTAGAAAAGACATTTCATTTCAGAGTGTGATTCCTGTAACCCTGACCAGGTTGAATGGTTACCAGGTGGATGTATGGGTAGATGCTGTGGATAATTTTAACACAAATATCAAAGATCATCAGTTCTTCAATCTTCCAAATGCTGATCCAGTACAGGGTCAATTAAATAAAATCTTTAAATAAAAGTGTAATCCGGAGAGAATGGCACTCGACGTGGGAGGTATATCTTTGCGAATGATGGACACAGGGTTGGTCCTCCACCATAGTGATACTCTCTGAATCTTATGCCTCACTTCACAGATATTGCCACCTCTAAAATATCTCTTTCTATGCATTTGGGTTCAGAAGACAAGCAAAAAATAAGTGAAATAGTTTCTCTGTTATTGAATCCAGCCCCTCGCTGGTCAAAATAATTAAGTGGAGCTCTGCCAAAGCGGCTCGACGTCCACGAGCCGTTAAAAGAAAATCACCAGCAGATGTGTGTTCAAGCACGAGACTCAGCCATGATGTCATGGCGCCCGAAGGGGCGAGCGTGCACGCGTGTGCGTGTGCGTGTTATCTCACCTCAGTGGAAGCTTTGTGTCATGCACACATGGCTTAACCATACCTTTAACCCCCCCGACAGCTCAGTCAGACTGGGTTTTAACCAAAGCCAGATGCTCCACACAGAACTACAGCGAGGGGTAAAACCTGAATCACAGCTACCAGTTTGCTAAGCCTACTATCAATGCTAAGGGCTCATTTAGAGGAACACTAACCCGACCACAGAAGGACCCCAGACCCTCATTTAATTCCATTTCTTGGTCATTGGCAAGTGTGCCCTCTAGATTCAACTAAATTAAGAAAAGAACAAGGAAATCATTACAATTACACTGATTGGAATGGAAGAGTGACACCCACTAATGTACAGGAAGGTGATCACACACATGTACACACACACACGCCATAGGTATACAACAGCCCGAGATTAAGGACTCATTAAGGCTCCGTGTGAGAATGGAGGGGGAGATAAGGTCAGACAAAAGGGCTGATGAGAAACTAAAGCCTGCATTCCTTCACCGTGATGGCAGTAGTTTAGCCGGAATGCTAGGAGACGCGCCTGTGACATTTCGCTGGGATCTAGAAGGCTGGAGGCCAGTCAGCCAAAGCAAACAACTCTTTCAGCCGACGTCAAACAGCGATGCTCAAAAAAGGTCACCTGCTGGGAGAGTGTCACACCCCCAGGCCGTAAGAGCTGTGCCTGTACACACCACCGGGAGAGTGCAACGCCCCCAGGCCGTAAGAGCTGTGCCTGTACACACCACCGGGAGAGTGCAACGCCCCCAGGCGGTAAGAACTGTGCCTGTACACACCACCGGGAGAGTGTCACGCCCCCAGGCCGTAAGAGCTGCCCGGCCAGCCAGGGGACCCTTCATGTAAAACCTCCTCAAAAGCTGGTGCCCGGATCACATGAGCCCAGGACCGGACAGCCACGCATGCGCCCCCCCCCGTGAGCAGGGCTGCCTGAGGTTTTGCTTTGTGTAAAGCGACCCTCATGTATCTTATCGCATTTCCTGCGCCGGCCGCAGATCACAGCGCGTCCCTCTGTTTTCACCGGGAATGAGGTCCCCGGTTCATTACATCACCGGTTGTGCAATCGATCCAAACAAAGGGAGTCTGTGTTCCAAGGCTTCGGCGATGTATAAATAAGGAGAGAGCAACCAGGCAGCAAAGAATGACTGGGGTGGACGGGCAATTAACCCGAGAAAATGCTAGAATGTAATAGAATTACCAGCCAAAACAAATGGCCACGTCCTTTTCATAAAGCCTTCCCAGAAGATCCCATTCACTGATCCCCCCTCCCCAACAAATAGATACAATTAGAGTAACCCAATAACACATAATACAATAACGTTTACATTTCCATCTATCTGGTTTACTAATGGGATTCCTCCTCCCATGACCAAACACCCACTAACTACTGCTGACACTGGCTGTCTCAGGCTCCCTTCTCTGTACAGCTGCTCCTTTACAGTTCCCTCTCGCAGTGAGAGACTCTCACAATAAGGGACAGTAGGTCTTTTCACAATTCTGCCCCATTGTTTCAGTTCTCCAGGTTTGACTGACATCACCCCTGCCGACTGAGTCTGTCGGAACGCTCCAGCCTTCCAACAGGGGGCAGCGTCAGGGGAACGACGAGACAGAGCCACAGGAGACGGCGGCCGTGACCCTGCAGTGCCCCGTCTGCCTCTCCGCATTCCTCGGTCCTGGAGGCTGGCAGGTGGCCCAAAGGGCAGCGGGCGTTCAAGGCCCTCCCGGGGTTCCCCACAACTGCGGGCGTTCTGAATCCAACAGGAAATTCCTGCTTTCTGGGGTTTTGGGCGTAGGACTGAGTAAGCAGTCAGGTCTGGGGTGAACCGCATGAATGTGCACGAGGGATGGGGCACAGGACGGGAGAGGGCATCTCTTGTCGGGGGGAGGGGAAGCAGAGGCGGCAGATAGCCGGGCCGTATCAGCCATCTGCAGAGCCCAAACGCAAACGAGCGCAGTGTAGCCGAGCGTGCACAGCCCCAGCCGCCCCGCACGCGATGATCAGACCTCTCTCCGCTGCTGCATTTCTATCCTAAATTTCTATTTTCACTCACACTGTGCAGGGTTAGCTGCCGTCCTGAATGGGCCCTTCGCCATTCGATGTGTGTTTCAGGGGTTAAATTCCTTCAGACCTGTCTGGGCTGCGGTTTTGTTGACTCTAAATTTAATCGGCTCATAAATGTTCTGTGCAGCCTTGAAGCTGTTTGGTGTCAGTAGTACTGGGTGCACAATCAATTAATGTGCAAGATGTGCTGAATTCCATCCATTCATCTATTTTCTATGACTACTCATTAAACACAGAGTCCCTTTGAGTGGGGACGCTATTCCAGGCAGCAGAAGGCAGGGACTGAATGGAGAGGATACCAGTCTGCACCCCTCCCTCCCTCACCCTATGTGTATGTCGTTACTACAGACTGACTGGCTTACAGACTGTCTCTGAGAGGTACCTCAGACTGGCGATAGACTGTCTCAGAGGTATCACCGACTGACTGGCTTACTGACCGTGTTTCAGGGGTACCAGAGATAGACTGGCTTACAGACTGTCTCTGAGCGGTACCAGAGATAGACTGGCTTACAGACTGTCTCTGAGCGGTACCAGAGATAGACTGGCTTATAGACTGTCTCTGAGAGCTACCACAAAAAG